CTCCTCCCGATTCTGAATGTGGAGACCGGAAATCCTTCTTTCCATCTCTCTCACTCTCTGAAAATTATCTTTTGGCTGCCTGGAGGCCTCCCTCGCTGCCTGAAACCACTGTAGCATAAGACAGCGTTGGCCATCACACACACACACACACACACACACACACACACACCCTTTGAATGATTCTCCCCAAAGTCTCCCCCCTCCTCCCTCCTCCCTTCCCTCCCATGCAAACGTATCAAGGGGTCACTGCCCGGATTCTGCACAGCAGAAGAAGAGGATTAATGCTCTGTTCATACAAGTTGCTGCTCTTGAAGTTAGTGACACAAAAATAAAAAAATAAAAAAAAACCAAGCGGTTCCTGCTACATCAGACGATATTGGCAAAGACAAGGCGTTTCTGTGCAAATAAGGAACTCGGGTGGGGGGGGGCAAGCGTGGAGCCTCGGGGGGCGCCGAGAACTTCACCGTGGAGCCCTGAGCCCGAGGCTCTCCTCTGCCGAGGACCGGGGGGGGGGCGGGTGCTGGTGCCTGGAAGAGGGTGCTGCGTACGGAGCCATTTCCTACGTGGGGGACGGAGGGATCCGGCTCCTACGGAGAAGCATCCCGCAGGCAGGCCGCGCTGCTCCTCGCTTACAGCTTGACTCTCCTGTGGGTAAAGAACAGAGGGGGACTCCATCAAGCCAGGTCTCCACGGGACGAGGTTGGGGCTATCAAAACGAACATGCCAACTCCAGGCCCACCCGGGGCCCATCGGCAGGAAGCCAGCTTGCCACCCCCATTTACAAAATAGGAAGTCGTTGCTCGCTAAGGTCGATTCCAATAGTGTTCATAGTACAAAATCAGAATTAGGCTTCGGAATATCTTAGGCCCCCTTTAAGTTGTTTTCTGCTGCCTTTCCAAACTGGAGGGCTTCTTTACGGAACCTTCTAGATCTAGCTATGAAGACCCCCTCCGAGCAAACAGGGCCAGTGCACGCCAGGAGGGCAAAGTGATGCACGATATCAAAGCGAAGAGCCTTTCATGCCTTCCCATCTGGCCAAGCGAAGACCCTCGGCTGATCCTGGCTGGGGCAAAAAACTAAGATAAGCAGAGTTCGACCTCTTGTAGGTGAATGCAGGGTGAACACTGGACTCAAAGTAGCAGCCCAAAAGCTTTCAAAAGGAAGCTGCTTCCGTATCTAGAAAACCATCCGGATGTGTCCTTCAAGCCAACCCGAAGATGTGCTCAACTCAACAGAAGTTTCTACATTTTGGGAGGTGGTTTCAACTGTGGATGAAACCCGGAAGGAGTTCTAGCCTGACGGGACACCTAATTACAACAGAGAACCAGCACCACAACAGGGGCCTTTCTGGGAAGGTAGCAGAGAACTGAATTCTAACCGTGGCCGAAGTTTTATTTCTACCGCTTGCTAATTTTAAGTTCTGAAGTATCAAAGCATACCTTTTTCAAAATTTTAAGTGGGGAAAGCAAAGCTTTTCCTTTGTTGGGATTTGGACTTTGTGGTATCCTGGGTCATTAAAACAGGAGTGCCCCCCACACACACACAACGGGAGTCCAATGTTGAAGGCAACAAAGTTCCAGGGAGGGAGAAAGAGGCTCCTGGAGCAAAGAGAAGAAACTGCAGAGAGGAGAGGAGAGTTTCTGCCTGCCTAGCTGCTTCCTGGAAGCCCTCCTATCGACACGGCTCGCCCGGGACCTTCCTCCCACGGAGCAACACAAGGCGGCTGTGCCTTTTGCCTGAGCCTCCCGATTCCTGTGCCAGGGAAAGGCCTGCCGAGCTCAAGTGGAGCCACTTGGATTCTCTCTTATTGCCGGCGGTGCTTTCTCACTTGACAAGGAGGGTTTGCGGTGACACAAAGGTGAAGAATAGCAACAGCACTTAGACGCACACACCGCTTTGCAGTGCTTTTACAGCCCTCTCTAAGCGGCTTACAGAGTCCGGCTGTTGCCCCCAACAATCTGGGTCCTCATTTTACCCACCTGGATGGAAGGCTGAGTCAACCTTGAGCCGGTCAGGATCGAACTGCTGGCTGCGGGCAGAGTCAGCCTGCCATCCTGCATTCCAGCCACTGCGCCAGCAGGGCTCTTCACAATATACAGGATAACAGTAGAGGAACCATGGGAAGCTAATTCAATGGCAGCCAAAGAATCTTAACCTAATACCCCCCCCAAAAGCACCACCCCCTCCTCTTCCTCCGTTCAGGGGCAACAAGCATGAATGCGGTTTACTTGGATTTTTAACCCACGACTGCCTGGGAAGAAAGGACGTTGTCCGGAGCAGCAAAGTCCCTTTGACATGAACTAGCCGAAATCTGTTGATCTTGGTGCAATCTAATTCCCCTCTCTGAGACTTGCTAGGCCAGGGGCTTCCTTAACTGGCTTTGTAGATCCCTATTAACGTTATTTTGAAATACGCAGCTGACTTTTTTGCATCTTTCCAGGCATGGCTCCCTTGTGACCTTTATTTTGGAACCCTGGGATATGTCATAATGGAGGCGAAACAGATACGCTGGCCCGCCTGGGACGTTGGGGCCCCTGTTGAAGTCAGTGCAGCCCCAGAGGCTGCCAACTGGATCACAAGGGCAATTTGGAAGCGGGGGGGGGGGGGGGAGTCAGCAGGTGCAGTGATAGATAACTCTTATCTGGGATTCTAAATCAGTCCTAAAATGTTCAGAAGCCGAGCCAAAGGTTTGAGCCCCTTTCCTTCTGCCACCGCCTCTGCCTTACGCCCGCTGCCATTCAGTTGGGCTGTTTTTAGTGGGACTTTTTGGAGCATGAAAAGACTCCCGGGGGGGGGGTTAAACACCCACCAGAGTCCTGCTGTCACCCTCTTGGAGTCACAGCTTCACAAAGGGTTCCCAGGAAAAGCGTCAGTCCCAAAGTTTTCAGGATTTGCAGAGGTTGATTGGCAGCTCCAACTGAACAGCTACGAGGCCAACTGGGAGTCAGGTGTAGGAAAGGTTGAGAATCCCCTGTTGCTCTGAGCGGCAGGACAAAGTGGCTGGGGCTGTGGAGCAGGGGAGGTGAAACCATCCTCCCCTCTCAGCCACCGTATTGGGGCACCCGCTGTGTGGAATCGGGCGTAGTCCATGGGTGCCATCTGCATTATTTGGGGTAATAGGGGTACTGCTCTGGGTTAACGGGATTTGGGATGGTGCAAAGGGCGTAGATTAGGAGACTCCCCAGCTCACTTCCAGCCCTCCAGGATCCATGGGACGACAAATTAAAATGGAAACTGGTCAGCCCCCAAACAACCTTTATCCAGTATGCAGCTATTTAATAACACAACTTAAATAGTTTGGTTTAGCACGACCAAGAACTGACTGTGGCTCTTTCAGCTAGTTGTGGGTCGCTGAATCTGTCTTCTTGGTCCCCTGCACCCACAACATGGAGAAGAAGTAAGAAAACAGGCAGAAGAGATTAGTGAGCAATGAGCTGATATTTTAGCAGGAAACTTCAAGACTTCAAAATAAGCCTTGAACTTCCCAAAACTGCATCCTTGTGACAGCCTGGTTAACACAAGAAGAAAGCTGAGAAGATGAAACCACGGACGACAGCCCATCTAAAAAAGCATAAATTTTATTATTTAAAAAGCATTTTTTAATAAATCCCCATATACAGTAGGGCTTTTATAGTATTAAACTAGCCACTTTTTTGCATGTACAAGTACATAATACATGCAGTACACTGTTAGAGCAAGGGAAAAGTAGATAGGCTGCTACATTAATATAGATTTAGATATTCGTGTTACATCTGGCCACCTGTGGGCAAGGATGCCTTGAAGCAGCCGAGAGAGTTAAGTGGAGAGAGGGGAGGAGAGGATCTTACTTGGGGTTGGCTTGAAATGTGGCCTTAAGCAGAGAGGAAAAATAGATCTCCGGGGTGCATGTGGGGGGGGGGGAATTCAAAGGCTCAGTTCGGCAAGGACAGCTATGGGGCCAACTCTTTTGAAGTCCAGCGCCTACAAAGACCCTGGTCGTTCCAGTAAAAACATTCATATATAAGTTGCTGCCAAGAGGCAACCCTCACTGCATCTGGGGTCAACGTCTTCCTTGAACTGCTGGAAATGAAAAGCCTGGATGAAAACGTATTTAAGCAGAGACCATCTGAACAGATCCGGGAGCACAGGGATAAAGAGCTTCCAAAACTGGCTCTGGGGCAACTTCAGAAGAATGTGCAAAAAAGGTCCAGGAAATCTGGTGCGTGACATTCACAAGTCCTCCACTTGTGAGGACTACTGTGGGGTACCTGATGGGCACCTGGTCCACCTGAGTCTTATCTCTTTTGGCCCAAAAACTGAGAATCTCTCTTGGTGACAGACGTGAAGCAGCCTCCAAAAACTGAGCTGAAACCAAGGCCTCAGTCTCTGCCCATCACGGTTTCCCCCAGGGGGGTTTTCTCGCGAGGCCTTTAGGGTTGCGCCTTACTTTTGAAAGTATTTCTCCAGGTACTCCTGGATCCACTTTAACTTGGAGTCGATGCAGATCTGCTTGCTGCTGTTTTTCAGTCTTGCGCTGCCGAAAAATAGGGGAGAGGGAAAAAAGAGAGAATAGAAAATAAACTCACGTACATAAACCAAACCAGAATTTGCTAGTTCAACTTTTGCGACAGGGACAAAAGAGGCATCTGCTCCTTATAACATTACACAATGAAGGAAAGTTTTTTATTATTATGGTGAAATTAAAACCATTAAAAACATTTGTGGCCGTTACCACAAATTGACACAAAGCAGCCCTCTTGAGCGATAGCTGGGCCACCTTCAAACCAAGGTCATGGTGGACGGAAGTTAAATGCCCCCAAAGCTTTTGAGTTGCCTTCGGGAGGCGCGTGGTAAGTTACACTGTTTTTATTTCCATTTGGCCAATTTGGGAAATTTTGAACCTCTTCCACCCTCTCTATGGAAAAAAAAAACTCCTTCTACAGAGCGAAGAACAATAGGGCATAGTTTTGTGAGTGACACTTCTGGCTGCTAAGCAGAAAACGCCGGAGAAGGGATCTCAAATGATCATACTTTTTGGAGGTGAACTGAAAGAACAAACTCAACAATATTTTGTACTCTCTGACAGCAACAATATTCAGCAACTCTGCAATGGGAGAAGAGCCTGAGAGTCAGCGATTGATAGAGCAACGTAATTGCTTGTCTGAACTCCTTCATTGGTACCAAACCATCTTTAACAGACAAGCACGTCTAGATGAGTAGACCAAAAGAGCTTTTCTGAACCCCTAGCCCAGAAAAGGCTATTTTCAATGGAAATTTCAATCTGCTGGTTTCCTCATCACACGAAATACCCTGAAAATAGGTTGTTCCAGCTACAGACTGTGTCTCACCAGTGAACTGATAAGGGAAGTCCGAAACTGCTTTTTGTGTTAGCCCCACACTCTGTAATGAGTGCTTCATTACGCTGCAGGAAAGCCTTTCATCAGGACACGTAATTAATCTGTCTTCCTTAATCTTTTCTATTTAGCAATCCACGTTCTCAGGCAGAATTCCCTTTATAAACAATGTAAGCAGAATACAAATCAATTTCCAAAACCTATCAGTTGAAAATGCAAATATAAAACATTTCATTTTCACATACTTTACTCTTTCCCAAGAAAGTGTATACTTTTGCTTCATTTCAACCACATTTAATGGTAGAAGAGAAAGAAGTTAATTATAAAGCTTCTCTATAAAATCACCCAAGTTGAAGTACTTATGACCAATTTTAATTTTTCTTCAAATACACAACCGTGCTTATAAATAAACTGTGGCTCTGTTTAGCATAAGGGAAGCATGTAAGGTTTCGCCCCCTCTTCCTGTGTGGTTTTAACGTTTATCTTGTTTATATTAGAGGGATGCTTTAAGGGGAAAGGATAATGAGGATAAAGGAGACGGGTTCTTCTGCATTTTGAAGGCCCAGGATGGAAGCAGGATAACAAGGAAGCTCGCGCTTTTGAGCTCTGGTGCTGGAGAAAATTCCTGGTGATGCCACAGGCAGCCACAGAAGTAAACAAATGGGTTGTTGAACAAATCAGCTGAAAGAGTTCTCGTTTGAGACACGGATGACTCGGCTCAAGCGATCCTACTTTGCTCAACTCTCGTGCTGGGAAGGGTGGAAGGAAAGGAGGCCAGCATCAAAGTCCCCGTGCCCAAATCATGAGCATCTGACCCACCGACCGTGGGGATGATGCTGGGGCCAGGCCACTCACAAGTCGTAAACCTGAACAATTGCTAAACGAGAGGTCGGTAAGCGAGGTCTAGAGGACAAAGGGCATAAAGCCACAAAACCCATCCCGCCTGAAGGACAAATCCAGCCACGAGAACAACTTTTCTACTTCCCCACCATCAGAACTGATCCTGCCAGAGCTGAGCCTTGAGGGCCCTCTGGCAGACTGCGGAAGGGCACTGCCCTCATCACCCGGGCACACTGGATGGGCAACTGGTACCCAGAGGTTGGTGGCCCTGCAGATGCCAAGCTGGGCCCAAGAGATTCAAAGCAGCAGTTCCCCACCACCACCGGTGAACTTTGCCTCTTTTGATCCGTGGGAACAAAACCCCCCGAGGACCCTCTTAGTCCGGGGATGGAGGGTCACCAGGAGATCAGTGTTTGCAACCCCCGAGTGCCAGGATCCTTCCTTGCCCGCTGCCCTTTGCACTGCGTCAATCACCAAGCGCTCTCCGGTTCCAACCTCCGCGACTTCTCAGGTCCCTGCGGACACCCAAATGGTGCCGCTCTTTAGGCTCCGGCCTCTTCCACACAAACACCGTTATTTTAAAATCCTGAAAACAGGAAACCTGAGGTGAAACCGAGGAGGCCGCGTTCTTTCGGAAAGCTCCCTCAAACATGTTTGCCAATTTTGATCCATTCTGCCATTAAATCTGCCAAACAAAATTTACAATTTCCTCCGTAAAAGAAGAACAAAACCAGAACTTAGCATATTGGAAGAATTAATCTGCCCAGAAAAAAAACGGCTACTCCTGACGATGTGATCCAGTTCTGTCAAACCAGTAAACAAAAGGAAAGTAATGCCTTATTTCCAATTAAGAGTCGATGGGAGGCAGGGCTCGGATTTCAAAATCACAATTAGAGACTAAATTGAATCGAGGGGCTAATCTGAGGTAGAAAAAGTCATTTTCTGAGTTTGTAACTCAGGGTTTGCTAACTTTAAGGCGCCGGCTGGGGAATTCTGAGAGTCCTAAAGACATCTTAAAGTTGCCAGAGTTGGAAAAGTCTCATGGCCTAAACTAGGGTTTCTCAACCATGGCACCTTTAACATGGGTGGACTTCAACTCCCAGAATTCCCCAGCCAGCTGTAGTAGGCTGGCTGGGGAATTCTGGGAGTTGAAGTCCACCCATCTAAAATTCACCAAAGTTGAGAAACCCCAAGGCTAAACCATCCATAAATTATAACTTGCTGCCGAGGCGTAAAACTCTTCCTCAAACAGATGCAAGTACTTATGGATTTGTTTTTATAGCTGCATCGTTTTTATTTCCCAGAAGACCCAGGATAGTTTACAAAAGGAAAATTATAAATGAAAAATAAAACAAAATCAAAATACAGTAAAATAGAAAATAGCAGCAAACACAACTGAATCAGGAACCCACAAGATAAAAGCTAAAAGAAAACAAGTCTTCAGACTCTTCCCGGAGGCCTCCAAAAATAGAAAGATTTGCCCACCGGGGCAGGCAGAGGCTGCAAGAAAAACGGGGCCACCAGGCACCTCCCAGGCCATGAAATCGGATTCTGAAGGCTCCATTCTAATTTGCTTCCATCAAGTCTGTTCCTTGTTCTTTTTTTCTTTCTTAAAAAAAAACCTGTTTCATATAAAACACACCTTGAAGCACAAATGAAGCATTCAGCTGACATTACCAAGGATTAACCTGCAAACTAGCTGGATCAGAGAAGCATCGTTCACTCTGTTTTTACAGTAAATAGAGGAAAAAAGAGGAAAAAGCGAAAGAGAGGAAATATTACAGATGTTAACCACAAACCCTCATCATTAT